CCTCTGCACCAAGCTACGAACTCGTCAAAGAGACAAGTGAAGTCAATCCCTCGACATACGTTCTGCCGAAAACGGTTACATTATCACTCCTATTTCTTTCCTGGCCTATCTATCTACTCTTTACGGCAATAAAGCGAAGACGTTGTCAGTGAATGATGTCCATTTCGAATAAACCAGTACAACTTTAGGGGCTTGGCAGTCAAGGAGCTGGGCAGAGGGATAAGCAAACTGTCACGGAAATTCGGCTTTATGGCGTAAATGTGGTAGAAATCCACTTTAGATGCTGCATGCGACCAGAGATATGCGTCCACAGTTTGCTCGGATAACATTGGTTTAATCAAGGAGAGGACCTGTGAAGAGAAGGCCTAATATCTGCAAGCATGGGAAGCAGAGCTTAGGTGCTCTGCTCCGTGAAGCGGCAGTGTACTTGTTTCTAGGCCTTGATAAATATCGGCTGGAGTGAAATGAACACTGGCACTGGAACCGAGTGAAATCGGACAACCAGAAAGATAAGGAACGGATCTACGAGACAATGAGGGGATCCGGATTGGAGGCCCTAGTCGGATCAGCCGAACGAAAGAGAGGGGGTTGGGGTGAATAGGAAGTGTGATGAGGCCACAAAAAGGCACACATTTTGACGAGTGGAATGTAAGCAAATCAGAAGTTGTGATAAGGCGGCAGTAGGATAAGAGGGTAAAGAGTAGATAGATAGGCCAGGACAGAAATAGGAGTGATAATGTAACCGTTTTCGGCAGAACGTATGTCGAGGGATTGACTTCACTTGTCTCTTTGACGAGTTCGTAGCTTGGGGCGGAGAATGGCAAAACTTACTGATGATGCCGGCGAAACGTTTGAGAATGTATCAAGTCCACTCTCTGATGCTAGGAATCATGACAACTACTATGGTAGACGACTTCGGACTAGGTGCGTTCTACTAAGTCGCCCTGACAACAAGACCAAACGAGGTCCCACTTATATAAATCACGTTTTTTTTCTAAACTCAAAATCTTTAGATCCGTAGTTCATTTATCCTTCGGAATGTTTCCCCTATTTTATTGCCTTTTTTATCTTGATTTCTTTATTTAGAAGTTGTAATATCCACAGCCGGTAAATCCTACGTTAGCATTCTCCATGATTATTGCCAATCCGTGGCGCGAACTACGCCTCTCTACCAAACCGTTGAGGTATCTACTCGTTCCAAAGCAGGGGATGCAAATATTGGACGAGATGGTGACTCGTCTTTCCCTGCTGGTGCGGTTAATCTTTCATCACAGTCACACATTATCAGGGATGCTGAAAGCGACCACATTTCACATCACCCAATTGCCCCATTTCGATGCACGGTGCTCGTAAATAATGGAAAGATTGTCGCATCTGGAACTGGCCATAGTAAGAAGCAAGCTAGAACTGAAGCAGGTAAACAACTTCTCCCAGTGCGCATTCTTTTAGTAACTAGATTGGCAAAAATGTTTGTATAACATCTTACCCAGAGCATGAAATATGCTATCAGGCACCTGGTAGGACATTGAATAAGATAGCTGGGCTTGGTAATTGACTACTTCTGAATACTGACTATTATTACTTCTCAGTAGAACCAACAATTTCACGAATTGCCATAAACGCTTTTTGATTTGGTTTTATGCATATAATCCTTCATTCTACTTTTCATTTGAGCTGGGACTCGTTCTTATAAAGTTCTCTTCTTCATACTATTTATTAGACATATGTAAGTCATTTCAGCTTAGTCCTGCTTTGTAATGGATACAGGAACTATCATTTCGTAGAGTACAGATAAATATTGTATCTTTTCAGGATAATTAGCTTTAAATGTCATTTTTATATCCCTAATGCCACTATGCTGTTCCTTGTTCAGTCTCTACGGGCTAACCAGATAGCTGTACCCTGAAAATTATTGCTTTCACGGCTATTAGATCTAATGACTCATTTATTGTATGCTTTTTACCCT